AATCATGTGTGAAAGAAATAAGCAGAACTTGTGGGTTGGGCCTTTTTTTAATTTCTACAACTTAGCAGAAAGAAAAGCCAATTAAAAGATTTATTCAAGTATTTCCATGACACAGTGTTGCAGTACTGAAGTGGGAGCTGCCCAGGGAGGTTGTGGAGTCTCCTTCACTGGAGACATTCAAAACCCACCTGGATGCGTTCCTGTGTGATGTACTCTAGGTGACCCTGCTCTGGCAGGGGGGGTTGGACTAGATGATCTTTCGAGGTCCCTTCCAGCCCCTAAGATTCTATGATTCTATGATCCTTTCACAGACCTCCGGAGAAGTCTTGTCTCCCCATTGTTGCTAATGCAACTTTGAAATGGTAGTTACAAGCTCCCATTTCAACAAATCTGGCCTCTAACTGGGCATCCTCTTCAATTCTTCTCTCCCTCCTCTTGTCCCCCCCGCAGCACACCTTGCCTTTCTAGCAGTTCATGGAGGAGGCACCTACCCCAATTCCTCACTCCTGGCACTTCTCCACACTGCTCCGTGCATTCTCCCCCATGCCAGCTTTGCTCTGCTCCTCCTCTTCATATTCTCACCCTACGTGCCCTTTCTCTACACATTTCCTTCTGTTTGGAACAGTTTTGTAAGTGGGTGCTAGATCACACCCTCCACATTCCAAACGCTCTCCTTTAAATTAATCTTTTTTTCCATAAGCCTATGAAATGTAGTAGAAAAATATGATCAGCAGCCTAAACAGCATCAGAGCCATCGTTACAAGTCACAAATTATTGGAAACAGGAGCAGCCCTAAGCCAAGAGTCCTATTTGCTATTCCTGCCTTCCCCCATTTGCTGGCATTCCCAAAGAAACTGGAGAAGATATCGAGTAACTTATATATACGTAAAACTTCATGTGTAGTAGCTCTGAACAACCTGGTGTAGGAGGAGTCCCTGCCCATGGCAGTGGGGTTGGAACTAGATGATCTTTAAGTTCCCTTCCAACCCAAACTATTCCATGATTCTATGACTGAACATTTGAAGTGATCCTGTTGGGAAGGAACAGCAGCATATCCCTACTCCAGTGCATTTTTCTTTTGTAAACTTTTGCTACACACTCTCCATTGTGCTGCAGGGGAAGCCAACAATTTCCTATGAACACTGCAGGTAATTAAGTATACATATTTACAGTATAAATATGGAGATGTACACAGTTAGCAGTGCATTCTACAATATTAATTCCTGATGTTCCTGAATGCATCCAAGTATCAGGTAACTTAAAAACCATGCATATTATTCATAAATAATAATTAAATATAAGGGGATGCAGAGACATTAAAAAAAAGATGCTTTCCTTACAGACAGTCAGCTGGTTGGTGGCAAAGCTGGGAGAGAACCTAAATCTGATCTATCCTCTTGTGAGTTTTAGAAGTATTATGTTCCCTATCACACATGTACTGTGATCAAAGCCTCATGCATATGCAGCCTGATTGCCAAACTAGCTGGAATCCTTTAAAAAGTCATTCCCCAGGAGGACAGCAGACCTACACTGAAGACCACAGCTAGAGATAAAATCATTCTAACTCAGCACACATTTGGTTTATGTGACAGTCATCAGCACCATCACCAACTTTACATCAATTTCAAGGATCAGTAAGAGCAACAGCTTCTGTTTCCTGACCACTGAAGGAAAGATGTCTCATATTAACATGTATCAAACCTGTGAGATGCAGACAGAAGGAGCCAAACATCATACTTCTAAAGCACTTGATAATGCATTATTGCAGAACAATTTATTCTCCTCTGTTTCTCATTGCCACTTTTATTTCTTACCAGCATTGTTCTAGCTTTTTTTCTGCAATATTTACTTTACTGACAAGTCTGGGTGCTGTAGAACTCACAGTGACCAGCAGAGACACAGCCCTTCCCTCTGGTTGGAATCATGGAATCGTTTTGGTTGGAAAAGACCTTTAAGATCATCAAGTCCAACCATTACCCAGCACTGCCAAGGCCACCTTGCTGCCGCCAACTGAAAATTAGTTGATGTAGCAGTACTAGTACTGCAAGCCTCTAACTAGGTGAAGTATAAGTTCAGGTTTGGGAGGAGTGGGTTTGATTCTATTTCCTGAATTTTTTGAGTGCTTCCATTAGTCATAGTCTGGAGTAGCCAAGAAATGAAGCACAGTTTAGATAAAAGTGCTGAAATCCTAAACCAAAATAACACGTTTGTATTAGAAACAACAAACATCCTTGTTCAATATGCTTTTTGATTATCAGAATATTTTTTTTGCTTAATTTAAACTTCAGTCTTTGAAGGATAAAATAAGTTCTTTCACTTGTCCTATAATATGAAATAAGCTCAAGTTCCATTGTAAGTTAATAGAAGAATATTTAAAACCATAACCACTAAAACATCTAACAAAACTCTCAGGCACAGAAATGTAGGATTAATCACACTCAAATTACATTACTGAGTGCAGCAAGGGGCAATAAACAGAATCATGACAAGATTCTGATTAGAGATGAGGTACATTTTTCCCCATGAGAACAGTCAAACATTGGAACAGTTTCCCAAGGGTAGTGGTAGATTCCCCCACATTGGACAGTTTTAAGTGTCAGCTTGACAGGGTGCTGAGCCATCTCTTATCAACTAGAGTAGTACCTAGAAAGGTTGGACCAGATGATCTTTGATGTCCTTTCCAACCTGGTGTTCTATGATTCTCCACCTGTGCTTTAGTTGTTCTACTGATAATTGCAGAATTTCTGGTTCACAAAACAACTAAATGCATAACAGCACTGACCTGGACATGTAAGAATAGCAGGGCTTGACCCTGTGCTACTACACAGACATTTATCATAGAAGGCAAGGCTTGTGATCAAGGCTCTCAAATTGTGAGTGCAGGAAATGGGCTCCTCTGTGCCAGTTCTCTTCACCTTGTAGAAGAAATCTAGGACCAATGAACATACCCTGACAGCAACACATGCTACAAGAGCAAATACCTCACATTGTAATTATATTGAATACCTTAGTATGTAACTCTTACAGGAGATAAACCTCCCAGAACAGCCTGGGCTTCATATTTTAGTAGTAGTAATACAGACCAAAATGTGATTTATAATAATGTGCTGACAGTATATAAACATAACTGCCTTAAGAAGCTATTGCACACACACTTTTTATCCAACTCACTTATTGAGTGCTCAACTTGCAACACTTTTTAGAATGGATGCTTTTGTGATTTTTTCAAACAAAATAAAACCAGCAAATTACCTAGGCAGCAATGTCATGCTAATATTGGACAGAGAAATAAGTCTCAACTACTATCAGCATAAAAGAGGAAAGAAAAACCTTAGAAATGCAAAAAAAAACCCACAACAAACAAACAAACAAACAAAACAAAAAACATTTTCAAGTAGCCACAATGCTTTTTGCTTATTTGTTTGCATTGGGCATCAAAACCCAGTCACAAAGAAGCAGAACTAATATATAAGTTGGGGCTAGTGAATTAAAATGTATGTTAGATATCCAATTTACAGAAAACCATGTGTCAGATAATTAATAAAGCTGCCAATAAAAACAGTGAAGAAATAACTGCTGAAATGCAAAACATGCATTCTGAGATTATTTTCCACCCAGTGTTTCCATAATGAAAAAAAAACTGGCATTGTTGTATGAAGAATGACACTGAAAAATCCTAATCACTTCTGGTCTTCTCTGCAGGCCAGGCCAGACACTACAATAGACATTGTCCCTCTTCTGTATGGCACTGGAAAAGGCAACTACCAGCAGGAGAATGGTTTGTAGCTAGCAGATAACAAACAAAGGAAAAGCAATCTCTCTTCTTCTGTTCCAGCCCCCTCACAAACCAAAGGGCTGGATACAATTCTTACACCCCTGACAGATCAGATCAGCTAATGACAAGCTTGGGATTCTTCTAGCAAATCCAGCAAATATACAAGCAAACAGATAGGAATGAGGCTGCTGTTGGCAAATTTGAAAGCCTGAAGTTCTTTCAGATCACAACTGGAAAAAAAATCAATTTATACATGAGTTTTTATTTTTCTTGCAAACCAACTCTGCAGTCAGATCAAGCCAAGCTTACCATCTGCTTCAGAGAGGAGCATAGCCATCTTCCAGAATTACGTTATAAAACTTCTTTGTAAACTTTACATGCAAGCTGTTCTTGTCAGGATTAAAGCCATTGTGATAATGCAGCTTAATACTCAATCAGGCTTTAAATAAAGAGTGACAAAAGTCCACATATGGGTGACAAGCTGTTCTACAGTAAATATTTTTGTATTTCTTGAGAAAGGGCTTATGGCAGTTTATGACATATTCTACCAGGCATTTCAATCTAAACTAGTTACATACTAATAAAACCAAGATAAAATCCTTGTTTTAAATTCCTCACCAAAATTTAGTTTTTTAATTAACTTGATTCTATTTCTATTTAGTTATGCTTTTACTTCATCATTTGCTTAAAAACTTTTCCCAGCAATTACAGAAAGGAAGACTTCTAGTACCCTGTATTTTAACAAGGCATCATTCCCAAGTGATGCTGAATGTATCTATGGAAGAGATAAAGGAAATACAGTGCAATTCTACCACTATAGCTGACCCTCTATAGCAGAGTAAAAATCCTTCCACACTTCTATGTAATTAAAGTTTTTAGAGCCATTTCCAATATTCCTGCAACTCAGAGGATACAGTATAAAAAAACCTCAAAAGTTCCCTTTCTACATAGATAGAAACACAATTTGCAGAAACACAGAGACAGAAGAAAATCTTATGACAAGTAGGGATGAAATTGTTTTTCATTTTTCATTCCATTTTCAGCAGTTACAAGGCACATGTTGCAATTAATACAGTTAACTACTTGCAACAAGCTCATTACAAGTCACTGATTTGTTACAGCAACTATGCAAGTAACTCAATATATAATTTAAATTTCAAACACCTGAATGAAACAGGTGTCACAGACATCTAAAATAAATCCTAATGCAGATAAATAATCTTACCCTGATGTTGGATCAAGAGCTATAGCCTTAGGGTTAGTGAGATCCAGCTCGACGAGGGTGATGCACACTGATCCGTTCTGGTTGCAAGCAAAGATCCTGTCACTCACATGATCCACAAAGTAAAAATTGCCAGTGATCCAGTCAATTGCTATTTGCTGTATGTCTGCCAATGAAAAAGAAAGGAAAAGAGAGCTCAGAAGTGCAATTGTTACACAAATAACCAAATTCCTAGCTGCTTCACCAAGCCGATGCTATACGCAGCTCAAGCTGGTTTTACATGGATTATATGGTATATAAAAGGAACTCAATTCTTAATATATACATAGTGGTTGGAGAGAGTTTTTCCCTTTTAAGTACAAAAATCTGATTGCAACTTCAAGGGCATGGAAGTTCCACATTTGTGTAGTTCCCTTAAAGTTTGTAATTGTGCATTTTTTAAGGTATATTCAGAAGCAACATAAGGGAATGATGGTGCATTGGTGGAAGAGAGGTCAGGGACGTGGCTGTGGGTGGCTGAGGGCAACAGATGGCAGTGGGAAGGCAGCATCTGAAGCCACTCAAGTTCTGAAGTTAGTGTTCCAGGATGTCTGTTACACCGTGGGGATGCTACATGGACAATGCTTAGAAGAGTTTACCAGATACATTGAAAGCAACTAAAACCAGATAGTAAACACTTCAAAGACATTTGAAAAGAAAATTGTGTGTTGATATGTACATCTAAACCCACTGTATGTAACAGCAGACGTGTGTGCATGCATTCATTTTCATTTCAATTCCTTCTTTTTGTGTAGATCTGAGAAATCTGATTCAAATAAGGAGCATGAAAGTAACTGTCTGTGTGGCATCCACACAGAGGTTCCTCACAATGACACCAGGAATTCCCCTTCTCCAAACACAAGGGTAGTCTCACAGTTACCTACCACAAGAGTTTTAAAGCAATCAGTTCTTTTTCTTGTGGATGCTGGAGCCACTTTTTGTAAATGTGTTCCAAATCCTGCATTTTTCTTACAAGCCAACCTACGTTTCCATACACACTCTTATTCTTACAGCAAGCAACATTATAAAGAAGCACAAAGAACACCACTTGAACTAAGATTCCTTTACTTCCTATTTTTATTGACAATACGGTATTGATACCACCTTGTAAGACTGAATTCTTCTTAAATGAATAACTCAATAATATTTTTTCCTATTAAATATTTGCAATGTTAAAGACTTCTTTATGTTTTAGAAAAATAAAATGATTATATTACAATGGTTTCAAAATAGTGCTAGCATAAGCTGAAATTCTTACATGATGGCAGAAGCCAAATGTAATAAAACATCATTTCACAAAGTAGCTTTTTTTGGGATTACTTTTAAGTTTTCTCTATTTCTATCAACCTTCACAATTTGAATTTTTAGGGTTTTCTTCCTAGCTGTAACAAGAGCCAGGTATGTGTTGGTACTGGCATGTACATGCTGCACTGGGGAATATAAGCAAACTTGATTCAGAAGGAAATTGTAGTCATTCTGGTTTTGACAATAACTGAGGGTTTATCAATCAGACATTTGCTAAATACTTCAAAGAGATGTGGAGACTCACAGGTTGTCCTTCAAGGTGCAGGTAACATAAACAAGATTTACTCAATAAAAAATCAGGAATAGCTATCAGCTCTATTCCGTCTCAGCCATCCCATTACACAGTTCACTGCTGTCTCTCTATCTCACATTTCTCCCCTTTTGCTACTCATTTTCCTTTTAATTCAAAGTGAATATTGTGCCTCTTCCCTTCTGATAGCTCCTATTACACAGATATGCTGAGCCAGAAAAAAGAAATGCTCCATTTAGTCCCATATCCAGCCTCCAGAGGAGGCCAATGTCAGGTGCACTATGAGGCTTATGCAAGCACTAATATATCTTACACAATAGTGAGGAAAAGGATATTTTGCTTG